TTCTTATTGATACTTGGATGAAATCAGGCAATTTTGTAAATTTACCAAAAACAACAATAATTTCAGTCATCACAACTAATACTCATTCAGAAACTTGCATTGTTTCTACTCATATTTCCTAAAAGTATTTGATGTCTTTAATATATGATACTTATTTTCAAATAAAAATAAGAGATGCTCACACATAGCACATCCCGAGTATATTCCACCAAACACTAGTTTTAGGTGTTTTGTTAAGTATTACTCTAAGAAGAAGATTCCATGATAAAACAGATATGTTAATCAAAATCAAGTCGCTTACTTGACGGCAGGACTTCATAGAATTTTTAATATGCTAAAATTCATTGAGAATCTACAAGAGGATTGGGATACAAGTTGTAGAATTCAGCAAATGTATTTGGTCACAGAGTCTATTCATGTGACACAGAAAAGAGAACAATATTTTAAAGCATACTTTTGGAAATACCAATCTAATATAATGCTACTATGGTATAGAGGTCAAAATAGAAGACCAAAGATGGATGTGACTTGCCCAAGACAGATTAGGTAAAATCAGTGCTAGGTGCCTGTGACTGAAATCCAGCTTTCTCATCTGAGTCCAAGGTCTTTCCATTTGACTTCAATGTCTCTATTACTTTTCCTGTCACTTACTACTTCCCTTTAAGGAAAGAAAACACAAGAACTAATTCTCTGTAAAAGGTATAAAAGTTCTCTCACTGACAATTTTTTTCTTTAAATGTTGAGCAGGGTTTATGTAAAGAAGAGGCTAAGATTTTAAACCTTAAATTACAATGTGCCGAGGGGCTTTAACAACTAATAACTAATGCTATCCCTGCAGAGAAGACAATCGAATTATCCTGGATTCAACATTTCTGGTTTATATTGAAAAAGGGGAAGAAGTTAACACTTTTCTAACATATTGGGCTATATGTACCACCTTGGAAGGGCTTAATAAAGCCAATGTGTGAAAATATATGAAAGAATTAAAAAATCTGTTATGCTGTTAAACTCTGACTACCACTGAATTTCAAGGCCAAGAGAATCTATTTTGTCTGAGACGACAACACTAAACCACTGGTACAATCCACAAAATCCGATGTCACTCTCACTTTACCATTTAAAAAACAAAACAAATTCCAGAGAACAATAAATTCTAAGTAGCCAAGGAAATTTTCAAAAATATAATTTTGCTAAAAAGAACATATACCATGTATTTGGGTTGACCCATTAAACATCAGAGTGGTCTGACATTATAGTCATCTTATTTAAAATACCAAGAGGCTAATTGCAAAGGTGACAGACAGAATAACTGTTTCTTAAAGTAGAATATTTGCAAAGGTCAGATACTATACTCTTACGTGGAATTTTTAAAGTGGGAAATAAGATTGTAAGGAATCTAAAGAAATTTTGTAGTAAATGTAATCTATTTACAGAAGATAAATGAATGTGTGATAAAATTTACTGGAAGGGAGAGAAAAGGTCTAAAGCATCCTAAAAAACTAAAAAGTGGAAAAGTGGAAAGACATAGCTCTTTCAAACATATGTGGAAGAGGAATTAGTCTTCACTTTCTTGTTTTCAAGGGACAGAGCTATGAATAAAGGGGGACATATATAGAAAAATATATTTTAACAGAATTTTAAGGAAAACATTTTAATGATACTTATTACCTAATAAATAGCTTTCGGGAGGTATTATCCACCCTTAAAGGGGGATCTATGAGAGGCCAGAGACTGCTTCACATGCTTGCTTTTCTGATGTACCAAGAAAGAGTTGATGAAAGATGGCTTTTAAGATAGATATGTTAAATTCTGAGATATAAGAAGAATTTCAGGGAGAAAAAGTACCCAATATAGATGGTGTGCTTCAGGTGGTGCCCAACATTATAGCTATTTTGCTTGAGAAACTAGAAGAGTTATTGTTATTACTAACTCTTTAAAAAATGACTGTGCTCTCAGTAGAGGGCAGTTGCTAGGAGACTTCCTGAATTGTGAGTATTCAGCCGTGAAAATCTAAAGAAATTAATGGAGTTTTATTTTAGACCAGTTTACTTACAGAACTCCGAGTGAATAATATATGGTGGAATTTTTCCTAAGAAGTGACAGAAGGAAGTGGTGCAAATTGCTTTAGAAAGAATAGCATATTTAGAGAAAAATATGCAGAGTGTGGTACAGCTGGTACATCATAGAATCTAAATCATTTGTACTTCCTTTGTGGGAGGAGAGTAGAAGAGGGGGAAGACACAAAGAATATGAATGTAGGGTAGTAAAGGGAAGAGGAGGTGGAAAGGAATGACAGAAAGAGAGCATTAATAAATATTTTTGGGTTGAAGCAAGATAATTGTTTTTGTAGGGTGGCTTCAGTGATTTTGTCTTTATTCTCCTTTTCAGGGTTATTTTGCTTGCAAAGTATAAAATGAATCATTTTCTTTCATTTCCAGTTTCAACTTGGAAGTACTAATTACGTCTTCCTTACATAAGAGAGGAGAGACCTCTTACTGTTGAAAGTTCTTTAACAAAACAAAACAAAACTATGCTTTAAAACTCAAAACAGTTAAGGATTATGTCACAGCTATTTTTGAAATCATTATATCTACAATGAATGTCAACAAAATGGTAATAAAAAATAGTATAGTGCCTGGAAAATTCTTTGACAGAATTATTTGGAGCAAGTTTTTTTTTTTTTTTTTTTAAATTTGGAAATAAAAAAAAAAACTACACAGAACTTCAAGAAATAAGCACCTACCATTTACCGTGATTGTACAATAGCAGTAAATGAAAAAATACCAGAAGATCTGCCTACAATCAAACTCTTATGGAACCATGAGTCAAAGGTCAAACTAGTAACTATCTAAGACAGTCATTACTTGAGAATGAAATGGTCCTCTTCATTTTTCTACGTAGTACTATGTAGAATATGGTTGTCACAATTTATTCTATTCCCAAGACAACATTTCAAGCAATAAAGTTTATATTCCAGAGAGAAGTTGTTCAGGTCTTGTACCCTAATAACAACCTTTCTTGTCCAGAAGATAGAACAACATCATAAGAACAAACTTTTACATCAAAAACAAACAAGCAAACAAACAAAACAAAATTCAGAATTTCTTGAGCATGAAAGTGGTAGTGGCTTCAGGTGGTAAAGCAGCCCAAAACTCTTAAATTTAACTTTGACTGAAGTCATTAATGGTATATTTTTTGCCCATCTGGTTTTCTCATGACAGAGTTCCTTCCTGAATAGTGGCTACTGCCTGGGATACAGTAGGTGGGCAGCACATGCTTATTAAAAAAGTAATTAATGAATGACAATCACGAATAAAGGAGGAAAGGAAAGAACTGACTGACAAATTTAAGGAAACTAATGAAAACATGTTGCACAAGAGGCAGTATAGCTTGGTGGTAATGAGTGGTCCTAGCCAGATTGCCTCAATTTGAAACCCAGTTTTGTCCATTATTAAACATATGACCATGGGCAAGTCAGAAAACCTGTCTACATCTCAGTTCTTTTTTGCTTATATAAAATGTGTTGCTGTTAGAAGTATGTTACATTACAAAAAAGCCCTTTATAAAAGAACATGGAACTTAGTAAATGCCAGGTCAATGTTAGCTATCAAGATTATTACAAAGATCTTATCTAACACAAAGCTTACTGAACACAAAGGTCATTGGCAACTATGAAATTAGACCACTGGGATTAAACACAGCTCTCTAAAGCCGAGGGAAGTAGGCACAATAAATATAAAATTTGGAGGTTCAACTCCAAAACTTGCACAAGTCATAAAAATTAATCTTCTGTTGAGATTGGGGGCTGATCCTCCCCAGACATTTCTCACAAAATTGTTGGAGATAATGGCTCCTTGCAGACATAGATTAGAAGTCCTGTTTTACAAGGATAGACATGTGACTAGACAGATACGCTAATCTTACTTGAGAGCTACCTACTATTAATTTTCAATATTCGATTATTATCCTGTAGATTTTGGCATACAACAGTAAATGGACATAAGGCAGTTTTATTAACACAGTCCCAAATGCTTTGTTGCTTATAATTGCCTTAATTTTGCTTTAGGTTATCGTATAACTCCATGGTTCAGAAAGACTGGCTGTGTGTCAATGTCAATCACTGCCTAGGACTCCTGAAGCATGTGAGAAGCTGGCAAATGAAATAGCTATAACCCTAAGGGGAGGAAAGGAAGAGATCCATTTACACATGTAGCAGAACTCAGATTATAAATTCTTGGAAGTCAGGTGCTGTGTCTATTCTGGTTGCACAAAGGACCATGGATATACGCTTATCAGTAAGCCAGGTGTTGTTTCTGTTGTTATGCAAACCCCACCTCTCCAGCAGTCTATAAAATAGCAGTTGCTCTCCCTAATAGGAAACTCATTATATTGGAAGAACAACAGATAATCTCTATGCCATGCGTATCTAAGAAAATTAATGAAAATCTAGATTTGTTTTGAAAATGTCAACAAAATAGATACATTGTACATATACTTTTGAGATCTCTTACTCATAAATCTGCTGTCTCTTCTTTTCAATTTTTGTCCAAGGTCTAAATTGTGGACCCCTCACAAATTCATATGCTGAAGCTCTAACCCCCCATGACTATTTGAGGATAGGTTCTATAGGAGATAATTAAGGTTAAATGAGTTAAAGATGGTGCCGTAATCCAATAGGACTGGGCCTTATAAGAGGTGGCCTTATAAGAAGAGAAAGAGAGAGAGAACTCTCTCTGCACAAATACCTAGGGAAGGCCATGTGAGGACACAGTGAGAAGGTGGCCATCTGCAGGTCAGGAAGAGAGCCCTCACCAAAAACCTAATTGGTTGGAACCTTGGACTATGTAGTCTCCAGAATTGTGAGAAAATAAATTTCTGCCGTTTTGAGTCACCCACCCTGTGGTATTTTGTGATGGCAGCCTGAACAGACAACGACAGTCTTACATTGGAAAACAAGAGCTTTATAAATATACACACAGTTTTGCTGGAGTCACACTCACCATCAGTAGTCTATCTCCTACTTGCAACCTTCCATCTTTTTGTGCAGCTCCTCCATCTATAATTTTAGTTACATAAATGCTGTTGTCTCCAGGAATGTGTTGGTTCCCCACACCTCCTGCGATACTGAAGCCTAAACCTATAAGAAAGGAACAGAAAATGGAAAGCCTTGTTTTGTTGTTGTGGTTGTTTTTAGAAAATGCAGTTAGCCACATTTTAACAGTTTTAAAAAATGAATCTTCAACTTATTGTAACAGCAATAAATAACACTAAAAATTGTATTTCAATCTAGTTTGTTATTTAAACATTTGAAGGGTTGTTGATTAATGAAAATGAGGCAGATTTTGAAGTCAACCCCATGTAAGTAGTTTTGTTCTATTTCCAAACTGTATGCCTAATCGCTTTCCTCAGCTATCCTGTTTATAGGGGTAACTGGTTAGAGCAGGGATCAGGTGAAGGATGTGGAGGAGTCCTAGGTGAGCCAGGAAAAAGACAAATTTAGTCCTGCTCATTGTTGGTCTATGGACTGATCTTCATTGCTGTTGTTACTCTAGCATAGAGAACAGAAGTACTACCAATCATTTGGGCAGAGACCTGGATACTCTTGATATTTCAAGATGAAAAATACAATTGTTCAAAAATTGCACAATTCTGAGGCAACAGCCATGATTAAGTTACACTGTTTAAATATATGTAATAATTTCAGAGAGAAGATAAGAAAAAGAAGCTAGATGCTTGCCTTTCATGTTTTCTTCTCTTGCCACCTGGTCATATTTTATATTTTCTAGCATTTATTGTTATTAACTGATCGATTATGAGGCTAGTCACACAAAAAAGTGAATTATTCTAGTATACAGTCTAAAAAATAAAAAAACTTCTTTAAAAATATTCTATTAGAAAATAAAGAATAAAAAGAACATTAAAAAATTGATTAATAAATAAATTTATTTTTTGAGACAGTCTTGCTCTGTTGCCCAGGCTGGAGTGCAGTGGTATGATCTCGGCTCACTGCAACCTCTGCCTCCCAGCTTCAAGTGGTTCTCCTGCCTCAGCCTCCTTAGTAGCTGGCATTACAGGCATATGCCACTATGTCTGACTACTTTTTTAAATTTTTAGTAGAGACTAAAAATGTTGGCCAGGCTGGTCTTGAACCCCTGACCTCAGGTGATCCACCTACCTCGGCCTCCCAAAGTGCTGGGATTACAGGCATGAGCCACCATATCCGGCCAAAAACTTTAAAATGTATACTTAGACTATTATTTTTATAACATGGCAGAATATCAAATCATTTTAAACATGGTGACTGTCTCTTTTAAGAGATGATTTTCACTGTACTATGGCTTATACAATTTTAACTTATATTAAACTATGAAGCAATAACAAGAATAGAGGACAGTCACGCACTACATAACAACGTTTTGATCAATGATAGATTACACATATGATGATGGGCCTAAAAGATTATAATGGAGCTGAGAAATGGCTATTGCCAAGTGACATCATAGTCATTGTAACATCATAGCATATTGATTACTCCCGTGATTGTGGTGATGTGGTGGAAAGGAACCTACTGCACTTCTAGTCATATATATAAAAGTATAGCATATACAATTGTAAAGAATAAATAATACTTGATAATGATAATAAATAACTATGTTCTTGGTTTATGTATTTACTACATTATGCTTTTTATTGTTATATTTGAGTGTACTCCTCTCCTTATTAAAAAATATTAATTATAGAAAAGCCTCAAGCAGCTCTTTCAGGAGGTATCCTAGAAGAAGGCATTATTATTACAGGGGATGACAGATCCACGCTGTAACATTTTGCATGGTATTGCCCCTGAACATCTTCCAGTTGGACAAGATGTGAAGGTAGAAGACAATGATACTGACGATCCTGACCCTGGGTAGACCTAGGCTAATGTATGCATGTGTGTCTTCATTTTTAACAAAAAGTTTAATGTGTTAAAAAAAAAATGAAAAGCTTATAGAATAAGAATAGAAAAAAGACAATACTTTGTATAGCTGTACAATATGTTTGTTTTAAGCTAAGTGTTATTACAAAAGAGTCAAAAAGTTAAAAAATAAAAAGTTCATAAAGTAAAAACGTTATGGTAAGCTAAGGTTAATTATTATTGAAGCTTTTTAAAAATAAATTTAGTCTAGCCTAAGTGTACAGCGTTCTTCAAGTCTACAGTAGTGTACAACAATGTACTAGGACTTCACATTCACTCATTACTCATCCACTGATTTACCCAGAGCAATGTCCAGTCCTATAGGTTCCATTCATGGTAAATGCTCTGTACAGGTGTACCATTGTTTACATTTTATTTTTTACTGCACTTTTTCTATGTTTAGATATGTTAAGTTACATAAATAGTTATCATTGTTTTGCAATTGCCTACAGTACTCAGTACAGTAACATGGTACACAGGTTTGTATCCTAGGAACAACAGGCTATACTATAGAGCCTAGGCTTGTACTAGTCTATTTGTTTCAGTTTGCATAAGTACGCTCTATTATGTTCCCATAACAATGATGATGTTGTCTAATGATGTATTTCTCAGAATGGATGCCTATTGTTAAAGGACACATGAATGTATTTTAAAAAATTATTATGAGATCATAAAAATTTATTAAAAAATTATTAGACTCTACAAAGGTATGAGAATTTTTTTTTTTTTTTTTTTTTTTTTTTTTTTTTTTTTTTTTGAGATAGAGTCTTACTCTGTCACCCAGGCTGGAGTGCAGTGGCGCAATCTGGGCTCACTGCAAGCTCCGCCTCCAGGGTTCACGCCATTCTCCTGCCTCAGCCTCCCCAACAGCTGGGACAACAGGCAAACGCCACCACGCCTGGCTACTTTTTTTGTATTTTTGGTAGAGACGGGGTTTCACTGTGTTAGCCAGGATGGTCTCGATCTCCTAACCTCGTGATCCGCTAGCCTCCGCCTCCCGAAGTGCTGGGATTACAGGCGTGAGCCACTGCGCCCGGCCGGGTATAAGGATTTTTAAAATCCCTTTCAGAATATGTTTGAATGCTCATTCAGTACCATACTTGCAGCATACATTTTCATTGCATTTTATAATCATAAGATAATTAACATGCAAATTACTCAAGAAGATAGATATTGATCAAAGGCCTTTTGACTAATGACATAATTTCTATAGCTTACTTGGCTTAAGACTTTTTTTAAAAACCACACACCTAGTAAAATAATAAAGCTATCCTTAAAATATTTGACATTTTATAAAACAATAATAAAAAATACTTAAAAATATTAACTCTACTTCACTATACTATTATTGAATAAATATTAGGTAAAGTTATATGCTCTTAAGATAGCAAAAATAGTTAATTGGAAAATGATGGCATAGTAAATTATAAAGCAACATCTCTGGAATTATATTTGAAATGCAAAGATTGTTAAATTAACCATAATAGTTGTTAAAAATAAATGGAAAATTGATTTAAATTGATAGGGCAATTAAAGCAAGTGTTATCTAATTTCCTTGTGATGTGGGTAATTATTTTTATTGATGCTTTGCCACCCCATGGAACCATGAATATATTTGTTTGCCTCAGATTTACAATCTGTTTATTAAGCAAATGATGACCAAAGAGTAAAATACCCCATATTGGCTTTTCCTATAAAATTTAAAATACATATCAGCTCATGTTTCCCAAAACTGTTACTTTATTATATATGAATATAGGGAAGTTTAAAAAAATATATTTACAAAAGTTTCTTAGCCACATTCTAAGATCAATCTACCACATTTATAAAAGTAGAGAGGTTATTCCAAACTCTGAAAAGAGAAGGTTAAAACAAATTCAGAGACTCCAATTTACATCCATGATGCTAGCAGTAAAGGCCACGGTCTCAGCTACAGAAGAGCTATAGAAATAAATTAGCACCATAAAGACGGTTAAGGCCAACAAAGACAGCAAGTATGTAGTTGACATTTGAAGTTGAAGACTGCACAAAGACAATGAAATCACTATGGATACTATAGATAGGTAGGTAGATAGATAGACAGATAGATAGATAGATAGATAGATAGATAGATAAAAATCGAGTAACATTTTTTCTTCAGATTAGGTTTATGTACTTCTTTTTAACTAGTGACTCTGTTCAAGGTGAAGCAAGGTATTTTTAGTAAATGTCCCTCTCAGAGCCACAGCATGTTTCTGAATGTACACAACTAGTAATTTTTCCAGTTTCCCTTACTTTGATGTAATATGCATGTGTTTAAAAACAATTAAAATTTATTTAACAGTTAACCATATTCTAAATATTCAAGATGATAAATAAATCTGTAGTTTATGTCTACATTGAGAATATATGTTTATTTACAGGTGGAAATATCCATCTGTGCTATAAGATTGTGTCTATCCTCATTCATTTATTCATTCACACATCTATTCTTTCAATAAACATCTCCTGAGTACATACTGTTCACTGTATTACCAGCTGCTATAGAGCATGGCCAAAGTAAATGTAAAGAATTTTTTTCCATTTTTAATTTTTAGTTGTTATGGATACGTAATATATGTAAATAAGGTACACATGATAATTTGATACAAGTATACAGTGTGTAATGATCAAATCAGGATAATTGGGATATCCATCACCTTAAACATTTATTATTTCTTAGTGTTAGGAACATTTTAATTCTGCTCTTAGTTATTTTGAAATATATAATACATTATTATTAACTGTAGCCACCCTATTGCACTACTGAACACTAGAAAGATCTATTTCTTTTATCTAACTGTATGTTTTTTATCCATTGACCAGAAACACTATAATAATAATGACCCAAAAGTGAGTTCATATGGGTGAGTGTAGTTGAAACATATCTGAGCAATGTTCTAAGCCCAGATAATGCAAGTAATTTTTGGAAAGCTATTCTATGAAGACAGATGTGGGCTAGGACCACTGAGCAATAAGACCAAACACAAATTACCTGGGTGTTTCTTGCATAGACTCTGTTAAAGCAGGGGCAGGCTGTCTACCTTATAAGACCTAGACAGGCTAAGGCATGCCATGACTAATGCCCCTGTCCCCCATTCCTGTTACTAATTTCACATCTCTTCCCTTCAGTAGCTAATTTTTCCCTCCTTCATTCCACTCAA